ACTGTTGCACAGATATAATACAATACGCATCAATTTCTCTTCTCTTTCTGCTTTGCACTTGTTAATGCAAAGCGCTGCATGCTGTGACTCCGTGTTGCTTCAAGCACATCATTCTGCACACCGGATGCGCATATTGTAAGCGCTTCGTGCCAAAAACGGCAAAGCACAAAGTGAAGAGAAATTGATGCGTAGTGTATTACATCTGTGCAACAGTTATTGAACCTTTCTTTTAACAGTTTTAAATTTCAGTTACTGTGCAAGTTAAAAACAATTTATAGTCTTTTCTACGCCCGTGTTTTTGTCATAGATTATGAATATACATATATTTTTTCATATTTATTGTTTATTTTTCTTTATAATGAAGTAGTCTGTATTTAGTAGATTGTGAAAGAATGACTATCAGTTCCACACACAGAGATATATAAATTCTACATTTATTTAAATGGAAAAAAAACTTCACTGGTATCGGATCGGTATCGGTATTGGCCAATACTGAACCCTGGGTATCGGAATCTGTATCGGAGGTGAAAAAGGCAGATCGGAGCATCCTTAGTAAATACAAACGTGAAACAGGACATTGGTAACAACACTTTTAGGTAATGAAAGTACAAATGTGTAACAGCTGGACTAACAGCACTTTTTGGTAAAGAAAGTGTTACACTTTATATTAAGTAAACAATTCCTATGGATTTACCATGTAATTACTCTGATGTTACACAGCAGCGGCCAGTAAGTTAGGCTTTACATATAAATTGTGGTTGGTGTCCAGAATGTTACACTTTATATTAAGTGGACAGTTCCTGAGGAGTTACCATGTAAGTACACTGGTACCACACAGTGGTGCACCAACTCCACCAACTTGAGATCCAACTCCGCCCACTTTACATATCCCTAAACCTACCCATCTCCACCCCCTGGATCAAATTGTTACAATTACTCTTATACATATTGTTGTTACAAAATGTAGTTATATATGTCCTGGTACACATTTGTACTTACACAAACATTCGGAGGGTTGTTACATGTGTGTAGTTACAGAAATATTACAGCTCTAGATACTATGTACCAATGTGTACTTACAGTGTGGTTACATACTACGTACACATCTAGTTACTAAGTACACAGGTATTAGGGCCACTTAATATAAAGTGGGACCAATGTTGGATAATAAATATGTTCATGTTTACAACATGTTCATAACTATTGTTAAAAATTACAGATTTTGAACTTTTACATAAAATGTATTAGTAAATGTTAGTAATTAATTAATTAATAATTGCAAAACTAAGATTTAAAAAAATGTAAATGCTGAAGCATTGCTCATTGTTAATATTAACAAATGAAACCTTATTGTAAAGTGTTACCAGTGAGTATAAATATAGGATTTTGTGTTTGATAACATTTTGTAATATAAACAACCATATACCCTATAAACTATTGTTTCACACAATAAATAATGAAATAGATTATAGTTATTTCTTTGTTTAGATCACAAACAGGTAGTAATATATATATATATATGCTGTATGTGAATGTGTGTGAACAGTGGTGAGTTGTGGGTGGAGCTGCATGAGGTGAGGCCCTTGGCTGCTGTCACAGACACATCAGAGCACAACATCAATCAAGCCCTTTCATTAGAGGCTGTCTAGGTCTCTCAGCGCCTCCATCAGCAGATGAGTCCTCCATTATTGATCAAACCAAATACATCCAACAGCCCTGCTACCACTATATCTCCCAGCTTGGAAGTTTACAGCCGGCTCCAGAGGAGCAAGAGGGTTTCTTCCTCAAAGATGCAGAACTGACTAACATGGGTGTTATACACTGGACTAACAAATAAATTAATTAGAATACTAATCAACTCAAATAGGAAAAAGGATATAGGGTTAAAAATGCCTTAAAATTTACTGTTGAAACAAGTGTCTTGTCCTATAGACTTTTTGTAAATGTAAGTTCTCACAAACTGAAGGACAAGTCAGAATTATTGAACGTGTTAACTGATAGAACGTCAGAGACTTCAGAGATTAGATACAGTTAGCAAAACAAAATTTTACTTCTGTAATCTAACATGCATGAGTAAAACTGAAGACTCAAAAGAAAAATCTAAGACCGGAACTGATTGTGAAATAGTGTGAGATTTTAAGATGTAAAGTCACATGAGATATAAAGTCAGAGATATGAGAAATAATCACATGGTAAAACATACTGACACATTATGAAATATAAAGTCGCAAATATGAGAAATAAAATCATTTTGAGAGACAAAAAGATCTCATTGTGAGATATAAAGTTGAAATACAAGAAATAAAGTCACATTGTGAAAAATAAAGTAACAAGAGAAATACAGTAGATATACAGTAGTCATTTATGAATGAGATTTAAAATTGAAGAAATAGTCACGAAAGTCATAATGTGATAATGTGAGATCATCAATACTAGGAATAAAATCACATCACAAGATATTTATTCACAAATATGACCAATCACACAAAGTTGAAAATGCAACAATTAAAGTAACACTGTGAGATATAAAGTTGCAAACATAATAAATAAAGTCACATTGCAAGAGATAGTCACAATGTGAGATATAAAGTAACGCTGTGAGATATAAAGTTGCAAACATAATAAAGTCACATTGCAAGAGATAGTCACAATGTGAGATATAAAGTAACACTGTGAGATATAAAGTTGCAAACATAATAAAGTCACATTGCAAGAGATAGTCACAATGTGAGATATAAAGTCACAAATCTGACAAATAGAGTCACATATGAAGTTGCAAATATGACAAATAAAGTCAGATTGCAAGATATAAGTCACAGAGGCTTCAATAAATACTAAATTAGAGCCTTGTGGTTTGATGACAGGGGTTTAAAATGTAATTATGAATGACAAGAGCCCAAAAATGAAAACTGTTGAAATGGAGTGTAATTTTATATATTTTTTTTTTTCAAAGGCAAAGTTCATCACTGCTGAACAGTTCTTCAGGTCTAAGTGCTATGCACAAGCTTTGACCTTCCATTGCTATTCAGATATTCAGAACAGAATAATAGCTTACTGCATACTGCACAGTATGCACTGCAACTGCTGATATTTTTTTATAGTGTAGAGTGGAAAGTTTAGGATGGCATGCTTCGGTCTTCAAAAGTATTAGAGTAATGCAGGCAGACAGGAATAATGCATTTAACTGACTTTACTGTCAGTGAATTTCAGCTCTCTCAGTGTGTCTGCCTTTGATCGTATAATAGTATGTGATACAGCACACATTATGCAATGGCATACATTTCATCCAGCAGTATGCTATGCTGTTTTCACATGACTTCAGTGCCGTCCACCGTTATCATCTAAGAAATAAATATCATGGTTGGTATTTTTTTCAGATTAATTTGTCACACTGGAAATGAAAAGTCGAAATGTTGTCTTTGGTTGTATACTTGACATTTTGGAACATGTGGGGTAAAAATGTACAAAGCTGTCACTGGGGCAGTGCCTTTTCAAAAGCTACACTTTTGTACCTTTTTACCCCTAGAGACTGTATATTAGATACATATTACTACCTAAAATGTATAATAGTACCTAAAAGGTACATATTTATATCTTTTGAAAGGGCACCGTCACAGTGACAACATTTGTAACTTTTTTTCTGAGTGTATGCATGCAGAAAATTTGCATACTATGCATAGCATATATATATATATACTGTATATACACTGCACAGATAGTAGAATACAAATGCAGTGTGCTATAATGAACAGAGTACAGCATTCTAGAAGTAAAAGGTGAATTTTGTAAGGTCCTTCTCCTTTTTTCATTCAAAAATGTCGTGTTGTCATTTATTGCAACTCTTATTGCAAATTTTAGAAAAAAGTCTAGACATAAACATCAATTTCCTTCTCTGAAATGACTCGGGATAAGACTAAGGGCTTCTTTCGAGCATCATTTAAAATGCAAACAGCTTTCTTAAGGACTGTAAATGAGGTGTTGTTGCTGAGCAACATGAAAACTTGAATAACAAGAAAGCAAAGGTAAAAAAGTTGTACAAAAGTGTTATTCATTATCTAAATCCAAGAAGGCATAATGAGGAGTTGAGGAGCACTTTGTGAATAAAGAATATAGGTGCTAAATGAAACCATGAGTTTCAAAGTTGTTTAGAATAATCTGAATAATTGCACTGTTTTATTTATTGTGAACTGCATTTTACAATGAGAAATGTTTGAATATAATATGCATTACCTTTATACCTGTAAGCAATGATAGTTTTATAACACATCTGTAAGCATGACTGCAAACACTAAAAGCAGATGTTGATATATAAAACTTTATTCTACTATTTATTATAATGAAACAAACAAAAATCAAGCAGTTAACATTTTGCTTGTTACAAGTTTGTTTTTATTGTATTTAAATAATAATAAAGTTCTTCATAGTTCTTTAAGTTTTGAAGCACCTTTAGTTTTAAGAGTGTACTTTGTTGATACTGAGAGCATCTCAACATTATTGTAAAGGGAATTGCTGTCACCTGGTGGTGGCTCAAGAACAGCAGTGAAGGAATATACTCTATAACAGGGATCCTCAAATCTGGCCCACGAGATCCACTTTCCTGCAGAGTTTAGCTCTAACCCTAATCAAACACACCTGAGCATGCTAATCAATGTCTTCAGGATCATTAGAAAATCACAGGTAGCTGAGTTTGATCAGGGTTGGAGCTAAACTCTGCAGCGCATTGGACCTCCAGGGTAAGATTTGAGGAACCCTGCTCTATAATGTAATGTACATAGTAATATGTATAATATAACTTGTCCATAATATTTAGCTGAGTGATCCACATTTGAATCCGTGGTTAACATGTTGAGAGTTGAGGAATCAAAATTCAACCTGAAATACTAATTGAAAAACAATGATTAGATGTCAATGACAATGATGTGTTGACAAATCATGTTGTGGACTTTTTAAAATATCCATATGCCATATTAGTGTACTTACATGACATCCGGAAAATAAAGTTATTTATTGTGTTCAAAGAACATAAAGTCCTACAAGAGAAGAATAACAGCAGATTATTCACTATGCTGAAACACGCAAAGCTTATAGAGCTAGATTTAACAGATACAAACTGGTCCAACCAGTAATATGTTGACGTATAATAATAACTTATTGTTGCTTACTATGAGAAAACATGCTCCGAAAAGAGCAGCTTTGATCTTCACGTCCAGATCCATAGGAAAGGAGATTCCAAAATTGTCTGCATCAGTGAAAGTTTCTCTCACCAGACCTGTCCATTGTTTAGAGATTCTGCCCACCTTTGTTGATTCGTCCACAGACAAAACCTGTTTAGATGCAAAAAAAATAACTATTTATAGTTATGAAAAATGTTTAGTGGTTTGTAAAAGGATCACATGGTTTTATACTTGTATGACTACGATTAAAGACAAATTATCAAACTATCATCAATATGTCAGTTTTGTATGTTTCATACATCAAAGTTCACATCAGCGCAACATCTGAATGAACAGAACGGCCCCACAATCTTCAGAACTGCTTCTTTCTTCTCATTCTGTATGGTATACTTGGGAAGGAAAGGATGCCAATTCTGGATCACATATCCAATCGGGTTGCACGGTGGAGACTGGATTTCGAGCTAAGAGGAAGACAGTAAAAAAGAAACAAAAACAGTGATTTGAGTTTAGGCATAATTATTCTTGAAATGAAAGCAGATCTGTATAATTATTCACAGGTTATAGGTTGCATTTAAGCTGTTAATTCAATCACAAGCATGGCCAGTGGTGGTGGCTTTGCTGAGTACCCATCATGCAACACATCATTCGCAACAGTACATTGGTGACGTTGATTTGAAAGCCTGACATGCATAGGCTGGGTGTTTATTTAGCAATGGTCTAAAATATTAATAGGGTCAACAACATCTATGAGTGTCCATGAGTGCCCAAAAATGTGAGAATATGTTGAATCGTGAATTATTAATATTATCATAAAATCAAGATATTACACTTTACAAGTCGCACCACATGACATTTTACAACCTCAACTAACCTTGCATTTTCATGAAAAGGTCAAATTATCTGATATTTTAGGAGACTTATAGACCTTGACACACAGTCATTAAATACTTCAATACTAAATTATTTACTAGAGTTTTATTTTCAGTAACTTCATTCTTGTAATGAGGCTTTCTTTCTTCAATTGTATCTCTGATATATTGTATCACTTTTTTTATGCATGCCAAAAAGTAATTAATTTAAATTTAATTCATAAATTAAAACCATGCTCATCACAGTCGAGTCAATATACAATCTGGGTATTGCTTCAAAGAAATTAATAATTACAATAATTTAATGCAAATTTAAGATCCAATAGGAGAATTTCTTCAAAAACATTTAAAAATCTTACCAATCCGAAACTTTTGTACAGTAGTTTACGTATGGATTGTATTCAATCAAAGCATGTTTTTTTTTCTACACAAACAGCACAATGATTATAGTTCATGAATCTACAATCTAGTTTGAATCTACAATCTTTCATCACCCAGCTTATATCTTTTAACAATGATAACTAATCAAAGACTTTGAAACCTGAATAAAAGTGAGAGTTACGACACAGAATGTAACTTCATGAACCAAAATCTGTATTACCTCTTGCAGGCAACAGGGACAACAGCAGCTTCCACACTTCAAAGGACGAGTGAGTGTCATCACTTCCTGTCCCATGTTATCCTGAACATGGAGGACGAATGAACGCAGCGGTCCACAGAACTGTCTATTACAGCAGTCGTTTTCCTCAGCCACAAAGAACACCTGTTGCCCCATACTGTTCTTCACTATGTACTTATTATTGGTCTCCCAGCCCAATATAACTGTGATGCGACAAAATAAAACAAAAATATAAAAGTAAGATCCATGTTTTTTGTCAAGTTTTATGCACTGCATTAACTGACCCATCAGTAAGCCTCACCTTGGTTACTGGTTTCAATCCTGGCTTGCAACTGCCTGGCAACTGTTGCCAACTACAATATTAACAGACAAACCCTTGCTGTTTTCTAACTCTATGGAAGTGTGTTTGGGTGGTTTAATACTACAGATTACAGAAGTTACACAAAAACAAGGTAAAATAGTGTGGCCGAACAAAAAGTATCCAGAGAGAATACATAGAGTATTTTCAACCTATAAATAATTTAATTAACCCTCTGGTGTTGTTTTGTCATTTTTGACCAACATTTTTTTTTTTAGATATTTTTACTTCATCTGAATTGTACAAACTTGGTAAAGGTTTTGGCACTTGTTATGAAATCCATGGACATGATTCAAACAGGTTAAATGATCCTGAAAAACAGTCTGTTCGTGGTCAAAAATGACTGCATTAGAAATGAATGGGAAGTGAATTTCATCTAGTGGAAACATTTGGTACTGCACCCAAACAAAATCTTCCTGAAAGATCTTATTTGAAATATCAGCCTCAAATATGGAACACAACTTTAGATTTACAGCTTTGATTTTCACACAGTTGTAGAGTCATACATGTTTTGTAAAATATCTCATATCAAATTTAAAAATAGTATTTTGTGCAATTTCATAATAATAGACTTCTTTTTAAAACTTTTTTTTTTGTTTTGTTTTACTTTTGTAACTTTTTTCAGCAATAATCTGCCAAGTGTCTTCTTTAAAAAGAGACCCAACTTAAGTCTGTGCTCTGAAGTATTTAAGATTTACCAACAGTTTAATTTGGAAATTTCATTTTCAAGTCTATGCTCAAAAAGTGGTAAACAGGTAATAAATGGACCATAACTTCTCTATTACATATACATTGAGCAAAAAAAACCTAAAAATGTAACATATAAAAAAAAAATGAGGCAAAGGTTTATACTTTAAAAAGGCAGAAATGAATGGCCTTTTGCCCCTTAAGTACTGTCTTGTATTTACATAAAACTCTTTATTTTCAAAAGGTTTAATCATTTAAACATAGTTATCACACACAAACACACAATCAAGATAGTCATCAAGAAAACCATAGTGGTTTGCCAGAGGCAAATGGTCCTGGTTCCTCACATCAGGAACGACTACACAATCTGGTTCAGTATCTCTTTACAACTGGTTCTCTAAGAGTTTTATTACCATAGAACAGTGGTTCCCAAACCTGTCCTGGAAGCCCACCTGCCCTGCACATTTTGTATGTCTCCCTAATCAGACACACCCAATTTAATTATTGCAGTCTCTACTTACGAGATGATGAGTGGAATCAGGTGTGTTAGATTAGGGAGACATACAAAAAAGTGCAGGGCAGGTGGGCCTCCAGGACAGGTTTGGGAACCACTGCCATAGAAAGTATTACTTCATATCATAGCATGGTATCAATCATAAACAAGTACCAAAAAGATCAATATGTGTAGTCTTGAAGTCTTGCTTCTTGTTTCAAGTACCCTAAAAACAAATGTTAGTCAATATATATATATATATATATATATATATATATATATATATATATATATATATATATATATCTGCATCATTACTCTTCAGTGTGACATGATCCTTCAGAAATCACACTAATATGTTGATTTGGTGCTCAGGAAACATTTCTTATTATTGTCAATGTTGAAAACAGTTGTGCTGCTTAACATTTTTGTGGAAGCTCTTATACCATTTTTTTTTCAATATTATTTGATGCTTAAAAAGTTCAAAGGACAGTATTTATTTGAAAACAACATTGTAAATGTCTTTACTGTCATTTTTGATCAATTTAGTGCATCCTTGCTGAATAAAAGAATTATATTATATTTTATATTATATTATATTATATTATATTATTATTATAAACCATGTTTGTATTTTTAATTGGTTTTATATTGCCGGACCATTTGTATTATATTATATTGCTACATTATTATATTTTGAACATGACAGTATAATTTATGGTATAAGGTATGCGCCATACCTCAAAATTAACATCAGAACAACATTTGCAGTCACAGAACGGCCCCACAACCTTCAGAACAGGTTCTTTTCTTTCATTCTGGATGGTGAATTTCGGCAAGAAAGGATGCCAGCTTTGTATTACATAACCAATAGGGCTGCCTGGGGGGCTCTGAACCTCCAGCTGAAATATATGAGGCAGTACTGAAATGCTAATACAGCAACATCGATATTTTTGCAATATTTATAATCACTTATCATTTTTATTTGTTGCAGGGAAACAGGAATGCAAAGCAGGATACAAAACATTTGGCTAATATGCACGAAACAGTATGAATGGTGAAGTGGTCATTTTGTACTGTACCTCTTGCAGACAGCATGGAAAGCAACAACTACTGCATTTAAGGGGGCGGGATAAAGTCATCACTTCCTGTCCCATGTTATCCTGGATATGAAGCAGGAAGGAGCGCACTGGTCCACAGACCATGCGAGTACAAAAATCGCTGTCCTCAGCAGCAAAAAACACCTGCTGTCCTAAACTATTTTTCACCACATATTGATTATTGGTCTCCCATCCCATGAGAGCTGTAAGAGAAAGAGAGCATTTGTAGTCACGTGACAGGGGTTTAGAAAATTGTTTCTAGCGCAATCAGTGGCCAAACATTACCTTCCATTAATTCCACTTTCTGATGAACTAGAAGCTGGTCAACCTATGATAAGCAGCATTGTAGAACTGACATGAAAATAGGCATAGAGTGTATTATTTGTCCATCTGTACTTATAAGATGTCCATAAGTACACTAATGCCACAAACCACATTCACCCACGCAGACACACACACACACACACACACACACACACATTATATATATACATATATATATATACACACACACACACATACACACATATACACATATGTCTGTTTTATTGGTTTACACATATCAGTGTATATATATATATATATATATATACACTGAACAAAATTATAAACGCAACACTTTTGTTCAGCTGAACTCAAAGATCCAAGACTTTTTCTATGTTCACAAAAGGCCTATTTCTCTCAAATATTGTTCACAAATCTGTCTAAATCTGTGTTAGTGAGCACTTCTCCTTTGCTGAGATAATCCATCCACCTCACAGGTGTGGCATATCAAGATGCTGATTAGACAGCATGATTATTGCACAGGTGTGCCTAAGGTTGGCCACAATAAAAGGCCACTCTAAAATGTGCAGTTTTATTACACAGCACAATGCCACAGATGTCGCAAGTTTTGAGGGAGCATGCAATTAGCATGCTGACTGCAGGAATGTCCACCAGAGCTGTGAATTGAATGTTCATTTATCTACCATAAGTCGTCTCCAAAGGCGTTTCAGAGAATTTGGCAGTACATCCAACCGGCCTCACAACCGCAGACCACGTGTAACCACACCAGCCCAGGACCTCCACATCCAGCATCTTCACCTCCAAGATCGTCTGAGACCAGCCACCTGGACAGCTGCTGCAACAATCGGTTTGCATAACCAAAGAATTTCTGCACAAACTGTCAGAAACCGTCTCAGGGAAGCTCATCTGCATGCTCGTCGTCCTCACTGGGGTCTCGATCTGACTGCAGTTCGTCGTCGTAACCGACTTGCGTGGGCAAATGCTCACATTCGATGGTGTCTGGCACTTTGGAGAGGTGTTCTCTTCACGGATGAATCCCGGTTTTCACTGTACAGGGCGGATGGCAGACAGCGTGTATGGCGTCGGGTGGGTGAACGGTTTGCTGATATGTCAATGTTGTGGATCGAGTGGCCCATGGTGGCGGTGTGGTTATGGTATGGGCAGGCGTATGTTATGGGCAACGAACACAGGTGCATTTTATTGATGGCATTTTGAATGCACAGAGATACCGTGATGAGATCCTGAGACCCATTCTTGTGCCATTCATCCCCGACCATCACCTCAGGTTGCAGCATGATAATGCACGGCCCCATGTTGCAAGGATCTGTACACAATTCCTGGAAGCTGAAAATATCCCAGTTCTTGCATGGCCAGCATACTCACCGGACGTGTCACCCATTGAGCATGTTTGGGATGCTCTGGATCGGCGTATACGACAGCGTATTCCAGTTCCTGCCAATGTCCAGCAACTTCGCACAGCCATTGAAGATGAGTGGACCAACATTCCACAGGCCACAATTAACAAGCTAATCAACTCTATGCGAAGGAGATGTGTTGCACTGCGTGAGGCAAATGGTGGTCACACCAGATACTGACTGGTTTTCGGACCCCCTCGGACCCCCAATACAGTAAAACTGCACATTTATAGTGGCCTTTTATTATGGCCAGCCTAAGGCACACCTGTGCAATAATCATGCTGTCTAACCAGTATCTTGATATGCCACACCTGTGAGGTGGATGGATTATCTCGGCAAAGGAGAAGTGCTCACTAACACAGATTTAGACAGATTTGTGAACAATATTTGAGAGAAATAGGCCTTTTGTGTACATAGAAAAAGTCTTAGATCTTTGAGTTCAGCTCATGGAAAATGGGGGCAAAAACAAAAGTGTTGCGTTTATAATTTTGTTCAGTGTATATACTGTATACTAGAACTGGAATTGTTTAAAAGAACTAAATCGGAACCATTAAATTCTTCATGATTCCCATTCCTATATTCCTATAACACAGATTCTAGAGAAAGGTTCATATATGAACAATGATTTTTCTCTATAGTGAATGTAAATGTTTATTTGTGAGAGTACTGTTATTCACCTGGGTCAGGTACTCCAAACCTGGTGGACAGCCCAGCGGTCTTTCTGGGACTGGCATGACCATCGGGACCTGAGGTGGCATATAACCTGCAGCAGAGAAGAACATGCTTACAGTGAACTCTATACACATTATTCATGTTTATGTCTTTACCTGCTGCTGGTGTAGGATAAACTTCATTTCCTGGATGAGGGCCAATGGTATATACTAAGGAAGAAAAAGAAAATCTGATAAACTATCAGATATCTGTACCCGTACAGATCATATGATCTGATA